AAAAGTTTGTAGATATTGTGCTTGGTGAGAATTTGAAATGGGCCTTTAAAAAAATGTTGTGGGTTGAAATTAGAACCATGCACGTTTAAAAAAAAAATCTTATTTGTTGAAATGGTTAAAATCTTCCCATGGACCAAATGAAGATGTTTGGAACCTGTTGGAAGGAAGAAATAAAAATATTGGAAAGCAAATTAGAAAGAGGCAGACAGGAGACAAGGGTGAAGTCAGAGGGAGCGTTCGGATTTTCACAGTTTGATCTGTAACTCGGTGCTGTTTGCATCTTTTACTAAGAGAATGTATTCACATATTTATTGGGTAATTAAGAAAAAATATTTTTTAAATGTTAGAAGAATGTCATTTTCTACTGCAAAGTCTAGATAGAATATTTTCATATACATTCTGCTGGCGTAGCTCAGTGGTTGAGAGTCAACCTATGAACCAAGAGCTTACAGTTCGATTCCCAGCCAGGGCACACATGCCCAGATTGCAGGCCCGAGCCCCATTGTGGGGTGTGTAGAAGGCATCCATCCGATCAATGATTCTCTCTCATCATTGATGTTTCTCTCTATCTTTCTCTCCCTACCTCTCTGAAATCAATAAAAATATATTATAAAACACACACATACATACACACACACACACACACACACACACACATTAGTTTCCTTGGTTCTCAGCTGAGGCCTGTCAAGGGACCTTTGCCATAGTCACAACTCAGGTAGGAGAGAGTGGTGCTGTTAGCATCAGCATAGAGACCAGGGATGCTGCTAAACATCCTAGGAAGCACAGGACAGCCCCCCACATCAAAGTATTATGTGGTCGCCGAAACTGGTTTGGCTCAGTGGATAGAGCGTCGGCCTGCGGACTGAAAGGTCCCAGGTTCGATTCCGGTCAAGGGCATGTACCTTGGTTGCGGGCACATCCCCAGTAGGAGATGTGCAGGAGGCAGCTGATCGATGTTTCTCTCTCATCGATGTTTCTAACTCTCTATCTCTCTCCCTTCCTCTCTGTAAAAAATCAATAAAATATATTTTTTAAAAAAAAGTATTATGTGGTCCAATATTGAATGTCAACTGCAATTGGAAAAAAAAGTGTTTCATAGAAAAAGTATTCTTAAAAAACAGAAAAAATAATTCTGTGGCCCAAAGTGTCACTAATGCCAAGGTAGACAAATTCTTATCTGTTTGAGTTGGGCTCACAGCAGTGGTTCTCAGACATGTCAGAGTTGTACCACACTATCTTATTGGGTTGATTTCACAATACCCTCCATTTCTCACAAAAGTCATGTGTGCCCTGACTGGTGGTTTGGCTCAATTGGAGCGTCTCCATGCACCAAAAGGTCACCAATTCGATTCCCAGTTTGGGCACATACCTAGGTTGTGGGTTTGATCCCTGGTCAGAGCATGTATGGAAGGCAGCGGATCAATGTGTCTCTCTCAAGTTGATCGGTCTCTCTCCCCACCCCCCACTACCGCCCCCCTTTCTCCCTCTCTAAAATCAATAAAACTAAATAAAACTTAAAAGTCATGTGCATATGCATTTAAAATTTAGCATGAATTTAAGTTCACTTTGAACTGCAAATAATAAAATGTAACTCCCTTTTAGATAACTGATAATAAGTGGAGGTAAGCAGGCAAGTGGGTGTGTTTATTTTTCAAAACCAGTAGGGAGTCACTGCTGTAAATCATTCCAGAGTGAGACTGGTGGGTGGGAGAAGCCACGTTCCGAGTCAGTCATCGGTGTCCACCCAGAAACATATCACACAGACTTCAAGGGAGTGTGGCCTGGAACAGAACTGGGAAGAGACGGGGAGATGCTGCCAGGTGGTAGGGTGATTCTGCCAGATGTCTCCCCGGCCCTTCTGGATGAACTGCAGAGTCACTTGTCTCTTTCAAGAGGCACATAAACTCTAAGCAGCTTCCTCTAGTCAGGAATAAACCAGCAGTTTCAAACTAGCAATTACACTGATTCGATTAGCAGCTTGAAAAACCAGATGTGTTGCCTGGCAACAGCATCCTTCTCTCTCCTCACCTTCCACATCCCTTAGACTTCGGATTGCCCTTTAGTGACCTTCCTAAAAAGGCTGCTTAGCATAGTAGTTAGGAGTGACTTCCAGAAGCAGCACGCCTGCCCACCTGGGCCCTGAACCCTGGCTCTGTAACTTACTGTCTGAGATGCCTAAGCTTAGGCAAACTACCTAACCTCTTGGTTTCCTCATCTGTAAAATGGAGAGAATATTATTACCTTACACAGTCTTGGTGGAAATTTAAAGCGTTCATATATAGATAGTGCCCAGAACATAACAAAAAATGTTACCTCCTATTTTCCTCTACCCCTTCTCTCCCTCTTCAGGGGTTCCATTTAACCAGATTTTGCCAACAAAAAATGTTGGGGGCAGGGCATGGTGGGCAGTGAGGGGTCAGAGCTCAAAGTGTCTTTTGTTCTAAAATTGCCCTCTCTGGTTCATTCCCCATATACACCCAACCCCTGACCCCTCCTACTTTTGTCTGTCATAAAGAACAACAAAGTTGTCTTCCAAGTTAAAAAAGAGCCTGATATTCAGATAGGCTTTTTTCTACATGGGAATAGCCCAGATATTCTGGAAACCAGGAGCTAGGATGCTCACTCGGTTCCTTAACACTGTATCTTGGCATCTTTCTTTAATAAAGTTATTCTACCAAGTTCATGAAGATTTTTCTTTTGGAATTTTAGTTAAAGGTGCCCCTTAATCTGCAGAAGCTAATGCGCTGTCAGCCATTAGTAAGTAAAATAATTCAGTTTGCATTCTGGATAAGTAGGCATTCCCAGAAAATCTCCAGTTAAACTTGAAAAACTAAAATAAATAATGAAACTGGATATAGTGCTGCTGGCTTTTGTTGTTGTTTTTAATGATGAATTTGGCAAATTTGCCCTAAAAAGGAAAGCTAATGAGCTGATTTCTATAGCCCCTTTATTTTATTTTTATTAAATGTATTGGGGTGGCACTGGTTAATAATATATAGACCCTTTCAAATGAAATGAAACAAACTAGCTACACTCTCTTCTTCAGTCCTAGTTTCCTACACTCTATTTATTTCAGCCCTTTTCCCAAAATTATTCCATGTCCCTCATGAGCTGTATTGTTATTTACTTTTTCCCCCTATAAATCAGCCCACTTCTTAAACTGTATATAAATTTATTTAAAAGGGGAAGCTATATAAAGGGAAAATGTCTGTTAATTTCCAAATAGAGGGTAAATATAAAAAAAATAAATACCATAAAAATTGAACACACTTCTTAAAAATAAAAATTGTTTAGATCTTAAATTACTAGTGTAAAAATAGAAATAGAGGAAATGCAAGTAATAATGTATCTAATTTACTGACACCATATAAAAAATTTAATATGTGCCAGCTCTTTTAGTTTCTCATCATGACTCTTCAAAGTAAATGTGATCTCTGCTTTTACAGATGATGGCTCTGCGCCCCAGAGGAGTGAGTAAATTGCCCAAGGCCCCAGAGTCGGGGAGGGTAGAGCAGGTCCAGGTGAGGCGAGAGCCCTCAAGGACTGCAGGGCAAAGGCCCCCAGTTCACCTTCTCTCTCCTCGTTCATCCAGGCCACCCTTCCTGAGAACTCCTCCCAAATCCTGTGCGGAAAGTCCCAGGATACACAACAATGACTCAGGTTTTCACCAAGATATGGTTAGACTTTCAGGTTTTTTGTGACAAAAAGAAAAATTAATATTTGCTCCAGAAAATATTTGCAACTGTTATTTTACAGTTTAAAGTCTAGCAGATCCTATGCAGCTGGTTAATGGACATGAAATGCAAATAGGAGGCTGAACATCTAAATCTTTCTGCCAGAGAAAAGGAATGGGGGTAGAAAAGGGGAGCAGGGAAGGGAGAGCGAAGAAGCTGCTTGGGGTGAGGTGAGATAAGAGTAAACCTAGGACAGGGGAGATGCTGAGGAAAGAACAGAATGGGAGGCATTTTATAAAAATGTTTCCCACGTGATGTATGATGTCATTCATCTGCTTCCATGTCTGGTATTTCTTTTCTAATGCACTAAAGATAATCACAATACAGTTTCAGGTGTTCATCTGTGTAGCACCTAAAATGATTCCCCTTCCCTCCAGGCTAGCACCTGCACTATGGGAGCTGCCTCAGATGGCATCCACTTCTGCGGCCTTCAATCCACCTCGAGGAGGATGACTTAGGAACTCGTATTTCCCACCAACCTCTTCCCAGAACAACTGACAGCACCATTTGAATGTCTAACACCATTATTTCTGCTCTTGCTACATTCCAGACGCACTGGCCCCCATTTGCTGTTCCCTCCGCCTTTCCGAGTTTTGCCTGTCCTGTTTCTAATGCTCAAATGTTACCTCCTCAGAGAAGCCTTCCTGGACCAGCCTAGCGAAGTAAGCACATCTCCCCCAGTTGCATCGCCCTACCAATTATAAGACCACCCCACAAACTACATCCCCTTATTCCCTTCATAGACGCCATAATCTGCACCTTTTGTGGATTTTGTTGTTTGCTTATTTTATCTCTCCATCTGCTAGAACATAAACTCCATATGGACAGGGACTCTGTCCTTTTTTGTTGAAAGGGACTCTGTCCTTTTTTGTTGAAAGGGGCCTTACACGTGATAGATGCCCAATAAATATTTGTTTATTTGTTGATTTAATGAATGTATTAATCTGTGATGACTGCCAATAAATGATTCTATGAGGAGAAAGTCTACAGTGTCTCATGTCACCATTGATAATGGCCACATACTAATGAATAAGATTTTACTGCACTTTGTAGTTTTGTTTTTTTTTCAAATCCTCACCCAATGATATGTTTTTATTGATTTGAGAGAGAGAGGAAGGGAAAAGGGGAGAGAGAGAGAGAAACATTGATGTGAGAGAGAAACACCAATTGGCTGCTCCCTGAACGCACCCCAACCAGGAATCAAATCTGCAACCTAGATATGTGCCCTGACCAGGAATCGAATCCAAAACCCATTGGTGCCTGGGACAATACTCCAACCAACTGAGCCACCAGCCACGGCAGCACTTTCTCATAGGTTATTACTATGGTCTGAAAGTTTGTATCCCCCAAAAATTTATATGTTGAAATCCAAATCCCCAAAGGTGATATTAGTTGGTGGGCCCTATGTCATAATGGGATTAGAGCCTTATAAAAGAGGCTGCAGGGAGCTCCCAACTCTGTCCACCACGTGAGGACATAGCCAGCCTGGAAGAGAGTCCTATCCAAAACATGACCATGCTGGTACCTTGACCTTGGACTTCCCAGCCTCCAAAACTCTGAGGAACAAATGTCTGTTGCTTATAAAACGATGTGATCTTAGCATATAAGCTTAGCTCAGTTTAGCTTAGACTGTTCTATAGTATTTTGTTATAGCAGCTCAAACAAGCTAAAACAGTTACTAACATTTTTTTTTCCACCAGAGCCTAACTAAGGTAGATACTATTTTTATCTTCATTTTGCCCCTAAGGAAACTCATATAAGTAGGTAAATGTAACTGGAGATACACTAGATGAGAAAACTGATAAGCTGTCAGAAGTGCAGACAATGCCAAGTGAACATGCCTGCTTTTCTTGCTAAGGTGACCCATCCTCCTAGTTCTCCTAGGACTCTCCTGGTTTTAGTACTGAAAATGCTGCATCCTGGGAAAACCAGGACAAACTGTCACCCTGTCCTACCCAGAAAACTGTAAATAAGACATTAGACACTTCATGCAATCAGATCCCTGGCCATCGAAAATGCAATGACCAAACCCTGGGGGATGGGGTTTAGAATCTAAAGCTAACAAGTTACATAATAGCTGCTTGATGCACCCACCCAGCTTCCTTCAAAGGAATGCTGGAACAGGAAGTCATTAATAAGCTGAAAAGGAGCGGACGCCCAGAAATGTGGTCCCCAGAGATGTGGTCCCCAGAGATGCGGTCCGTGGTCTGACCCTGGGAGATAAAGATGGTAAGTAGGTCAGCCTGGCTATGAAGCTCATGCTTTCAGACTGAATCTGATCCACTAAAAGCCCAGGAGGTATGCTGGGCAGTAGTAGAGCCAAGCCCTGCAGGCACCCTGACCAGGAGAAACCAGCTTAATATTCCAGAGAGGAAAATTCCTCCTCTCCCAATTCAACATTTTTTCTCAATATCATTGGAAGTCTTGACTTCATTATTCTGGTAAAGTAGCCATCACTATTTCACATGTGGTGTGCGTGTGCGTATGTATGTGTGTGTGTGTGTGTGTGTGTACACGCAAACGTGTTGCGGGGAGGTAATTACTGCATAGGTGGCATTGTCTGCTCATCTAGGTAGAAACTGTAGTGTTCATTCATGCCATTGGGTAATCTCTCTGAAGCAATTACGTATCATATTTTGAAAGAGGCATTAAAAAAATCCACCACTAGGTGATTCAGACTTAATTATCTTGTCTTTGCGGCAGCTGGGTTCAAAGCTCAAGTGGAGAACACATCGACTTCAAAGGCAGAGGGAATCGAAGGTGCTCCCCAGCTTTGGGCTCTTCCTCTGCTGAAGGTAAGAATCATGAACAAGCTTCAGGTCTCTGCCAGTGCAGGATCTCCGGACGGGGATTACCCTCCCACTGGGAGAGGTCCCAGATCTGGTCGGACACCCTGAGGGGGCAGCTGTCACGTATTCTGAGTTATTGTCTGCCTCGGTTTTTATGTTTTATTTGCTTTTTATGTCACTCACACTCACCCAGAAGACTGTGAACAGCTCTAAGAAAGAAAAGAGAATTGGCTGGGACTACCTGTTCAGTTTTGTATTGTTCAGCAGTGTTAAGAAGGTTGCTCAAGAGTTTGGATTTCTTTTTGCTTCCATTTCAATGGGGAACCCAGTGCAGTGGCAGAAAAGTCTAACTGGGGTCTCAACCGGTGTGGTTGGGATTAAGGAGCTGCCTTGACCTCTCTGTTTGGGGGCCAGGTCTTCATCAGTAACCTAGACCCTGCCCTGCCAGAGCAAACGACCCTCCCCCTTGCCTGAAAGTTTTAACGTGTCCGTGTTGTGTATGGAGTTTGGGGAAGAAAGAGTTGGTGTAAAATTTCAAGGCCCTTGTCATTAGAGATCTTGATATAAAGTCAGATGTGTGGGCTGAATCCCTTGAAATATTCTCCAGTTCTTCCCCTATCCCATACCTATTGATTTCTTACATGCATTTTGTCTTCACCCTTAGGTTGGAATAGTATTATACTCTAGGCTTCTTTAAACCAATTGAACCTAATTTTTCCATCTTTGCCTCTGTGTTGAAAGCTACATTTCATTCACTCATCCCTTCTTTAATCAATTATTCAAGTCTGTCAGAGCTCGCCCCCATGAGTGGTAATGGCAAATTGATCTGTCACGGGAATTTTCTCAGTTTTACCAGTTTTCTTATTTCTAGTCATCGGAATGGCTCAGGCAAGGACCATCTAATTTAGGAGTGTTATCCCGCCCGTATGTTGGCGTGGAAATGTCATGGGTTCCGAGGCTTTGAATCTTAGAGAGAAGCAATCCTCAGAAGCAACAAGATAGGTTACTTGGCTGGCAGGGTGTTAAAATCATCTTGGATCCCTTCTTTTAACAGGCTACTCACCTTGCCCTTACTTGTCAGCCAAATGACTTAACCTTTTAGGAGTCATCTCCTTGCTTGACAAGGTTCCTTTCCTCCCCGGCCCATAAATTATCCTCCTAGCCAAACAATTCAACTGAAGATTACATACAATTCATCCCTTTATAGCCCAGTAATTTCATTCACTCATAAAAAACTTTAGAGGAAAAATATGTTTTTCTGCATTCAGTGTTGAGGTCCTGGATCTCCATCAATGTGGACTGCTTCAGAAACATTCTTTAACTAAGAAGGGAAACAGATTTTTGCTGTTGGAAGGGAATTAAAAACTTCACTTGTGCCCAAGGAAAGACAGAGGGACTTGCACTTGATGCTTAAAAATTTCCCGACACTTAATATATTTTATTCCACATAGAAGATGGCATCAAGAAACTCCTATTTAAAATTCCCAAGTGAAAATTAAAGTTCTAGCATTTATCAAGTCATTAAATGAAAAAAAAATTATAAACAGTAAAAGGAGGAGCCAGAAGAACAAGGTTTGATTCCCAGGTACTTGACTTACTATGTGGCCTCAGACAGATCATGCAGACTCCCTAAGCCCCTGCCCACATGTCCAAAACAGAAGTCGGATAACATCCACCTCAAAGCATTGTTCTGAACTTCTTAGCAAGTAGTATCTCTGCTTTGGTTTATCTTGCTTTTTCACTATAGAAATGGGGAACCTGTTCTAGAACCTTTCTTAGTTAACCAGGATCTTGTAAGTCTGTCAGTTGGTCAGTTAGTAAATATTTACTGCGTTCCTACTATGTGCTAGGCAGATACATCATTTCTACTTTAATTTATACACAATTAATGGGTATAGTTTTTTTGGTCTAACATTTTTTCCCATTTCTTTTGACTGCTATGAAAAATGTTTTCCTCTTTTGAAAAATTTGTCTTATGCCTGCCTTGGTATGACACATCCATTTATAGTTCTTTGCCTACAGATATTAGCATGACTACACGTTCATATGACCTCATCTTTTGTTAAAATGTAGAAACACTTCTGTACCAGTGGATGAATAGCCACAGACCTGAGCCCCAGGAGTGTTTTGCTTACTCTCATAGTCCCATTCATCTCTGCTATCCCCCAGGTCAACTGAAGGATTAAGGAAGGCCTAGCACAGATGGTAACTGGACCTAGCTCCTGAGTCCATCCTGAGTATAAGATGTGCCTCCCAGAATGTGGAAGAGCTCACACTTGCTTACCCACTCCTCGCATTTCTTCCAGCCCTCAGATCACTCATTTCTTGGCCAGAGACCCTCCTCTCCTACCCAAGTCCCTTCCCCTTAGCTCTCAGTCTCTTTCCTCTGTGCTTCCCTTAGTGTATTCTGCACTCCGATTGTCCTCCAGCCACCCCTCCTTAGCCCTGCCCCCAGCATTGCTGCCCAGGTTCTTTCTGTAGATTGTCCTCTATAACCCAAACCAACTCTGTAGGGCTGAAACAGCACACTGAATGCATGCGGCCATAGCAGTGTTAAAATACTGAAATAACTGAGTAATAATAGTAAATAGTCACTACTCTGAGTCCCCATGCCCAGTACCCCCAACCACACTGACCACTCCTCCTCCCCATGATCCAGTGCCTGGCCTCCCTGACTGTGCTCCAGGACTATGGCCAACACCTGCTCTTATGGGTACCTGTGCTCTGCTAGTGTATAGGTGCTTTTCCAATCACCTTCGCAAAGAACTATAATGTAGAGTGAGGTAAGGGCTGCTCCTTCATTTATGATCCACTGAGTCATTATACCAATACTTACCCATCACTTCTATGTCCAAGACACCAAGCCAAGCTCTAGGACCTCCAAACCAGATCAGGTCTGTGCCCTTCTGGTACTTCCATTCTGCTAGGAGAGACAGATAATAAGCAAGAAGATAAACATACACCCATGTTTCAATATATGTTTTGACTGAGGGTTCCAAAGGAAGTGAGATTAGCTTTGGGAATTCAGAAGTGGTTTCAGAAAGAAGGCTGTGTTTAAAATGGACCTTACCCTAGCTGGTTTGGCTCAATGGATAGAGCATTGGCCTGCGGACTGAAGGGTCCCAGGTTCAATTCCAGTCGAGGGCACATGCTCGGGTTGTGGGCTCGATCCCCGGTAGGGGGCGTGCAGGAGGCAGCCAATTGATGATTCTCATCATTGATGTTTCTATCTCTTCCTCTCCCTTTCTCTCTGAAATCAGTAAAAGTATATTTTAAAAATATAAAAATAAAATGGACCTTTGGATACACAGGGTTTCTGCAGGCCTATGTCAGGGGAGCAGCATAAGCACAGGCATTGAGCAGGAACCATGGCCTGTGTTTACAAACCAGGAGTCCATCTTATCTGGCCAGTGGGGTACACAGAGAGGGCTCCTAGGAGATGAGGTTGATTGAGCCAGCCTTTCCTCACACCTGAAGGTGGACTTATGCTGTACAGAACAGACACATAGTGGATACACCCTTTTCAACCTCATGGCTGGCCATCAAAACACCTGCTTGAGCATTCACTAATCTGAGCATAGGTCCACTGTATGAGTTGGGCAGCTTGTGCACTGGACAAATGCCAGCCCAAGGGGTGAGTAGGGCAGCCCTTGCTCGCCCCACCAAACTGGATACACTGGTGTGGGGTTTTCCTAAAACACTTTTCACCAGCTCCACATTGTGCCAGAGGCCACCTTTACCCATTTTACACAAAAGCCAAGATAGGCTAGCAACAGCCCTCCCCAGATACTTTCTTCCCTGGTCAAACTGCTCTATTCCTTTCAAATAAATCCTTTTGTCTGTGCCACCCCGATTCCCACTTCTATGGCCTTACCCATAAGCCCACACAAGCCCCTTTATCAAAGCTCTCACTTATCTTGGCCATGCACCACACACACACACTCAAACACACCTCTTACAGTAACCCCTTTTCCTTCATCCAGATTGCTTCTGAACCCCTTTTGAACCCTGTCCTGCCCTACCCCTCCCTCTGTCTATATGGCTCCCACAACTTCCTCTTCTTTGATTACCCCCACAAATGTTTCTCTGATCTGTTTCATATTTGTGTGTTAACTCGGTGGGCCTCTGTCACCTGTGGGTCTTTGGCATGTGTGAAAATGTGCCCAAAACCCATTGGGCACAGTGAAGAATATGTGGTCTCTTTCCTTAAAGAAGATGTTTATTAAGATTTTTTGATGTATCTACCACGTGCCAGGCATCGTACCAGAGACTTTGGAGATATAAAAGTAAGACAGTGCCAATGATGAAGGGAAAAAGACAATCAGAATACAGGATGGTGCATATCAAGATCAGGGACTGCTCCAAGTGCTGTGGGAACTCAGAAGGTTAATCTGGCCCACTTCACAGTCTCCAGGAAGAGACATTCATTCATTCAACCAATCAATCATTCAGTATTTACCCATTGCCTACTGTGTGCCAGTTGCTGTTCAAGGTGCTGAAGTGATGCAATTCTTCCCCCATGAAACCTACAAATTCCAGCAGGAGAGACAGGCAATGAACAAATGAGTTACTATAGACTATGCTAGATGATGATATGTGCCTAGAGAAAAATAAAGCAAGGAGGGGCATGGTGAATATCAGGGTCGGGGGGGGTGGGGGGAGGCAGGTTAACGATCCTTGTTTTGTATAGAGTGGTTGGGAAAGGCTTCAGTGAGATAACACCTGAGATACCTGAAGAAAGTGAAAGACACCCATGTGGTTATCTGTGAGGTGACTCTACCAGGCAGAAGGAACAACAAGTGCAAAGACCTGAGGATACAGGTCCCAGAGAGTGTTCAAGGAAGATAAAGTCAGCCAGTGAGGCTGGGGACAGGTGAGCCAGACAACAGTGTTAAGGAAGGAGGTCAGTAAGAAGGTAGAGGTGTGGAGTAGGGCATGCCTTGCAGCTGGTGGAAGGGCTCTGGCTTTTATGCTGAATAAGGTGGGGAACCACTCAAAGACTTGATGGGGTGGAGGTGACAAGATCTGACTTGATTTTAGGAGGCCTACTTGGCTGTGGTGTGGAACATAGCTAGAAGAGGACAAGGGAGGCAGAGAGACCAGTAAGGAGCTGATTGTGAACATTCATGAAATGATACTGGCTTGGTGTAATGGTTGGAGGTATAGCAGTGGAAATAGTGAGCCTGCCTGAAAGCTCATGATGTTTCAATGCATGCATGCATATGTATTGTACAAAGTGCAGCGGAAGCACAGGGGAGATGATGGTGAACCCAGTGCGAAATGACATGGCAAGGGAAGCTGTCACAGAGCGGACATTGGAGCTGGCCCTAGAAGATCCTAAAACTATCCTCACCCCCACCCCAGTATCTTCCCCAAGGCATATCCCAATCATTACATGTACTGTAAGGCTCTTGTATTATATTGCATTGCATCATCCTGTATTGTGTTATAATCATCTGTGTGTGTGTGTGTATACGTGTGGGTGTGTGTGACTCACCACTAGTCTATGGGAAGCAGAGGTCAGGGACCACGCACATGGATCATCTGTACATCCTCAGCATCTAGAACATGTTCTGGTGTGTTTAACAAATGATTGCTGGATGGATAGATGTACGGTAGTCCTGGAAGTGAGCAATGAAAATGAGAAAGCCTAGAAATTCTGGGTGGAATTGACCAATGAGAAAGTCAAGAATAATAAAGGAACCATAAATGTCGGTTAATTGCAGATGTGTACAAAGATGGTCCAAGTCCTTTGGGGGTGTTTCCTCCTGTGGAATGTCTACATCTCATCTGCTTGGACCACACACCCTGGAATCAAGGCAAGGACTACTCAGCGGGCTCTGGACTATGGTGAGTTGGATGCTTTCAGAAGCCAGGCTGCAGACCCCTAGTGTTGCTGAAAAAATAATCACCTTAACAGTTGGCATATCCAAACACTGCCACAGATTCATATTCTCTCTCTCTCTCTCTCTCTCTCTCTCTCTCTCTCTCTCTCTCTCTCTCTCTCTCACACACACACACACACACACACACACACACACACACACACTGAACATCTCAGAGAATCATTATAGGATAGAGGGAAGAAGATTTGTAGTAAAAGTAATAACTTACAGTTTCAGAAAGGGTTTGATTCCGAAAGAAACAGTTTTCTAAAAATGTGTGTGTAAAATTTAATGGGAATGATGATCATGCATTTTTCTTGAGGGAGGCTCTGTACATATATTAGAGGCACAAAGGCGTCTGCAAGACTAAGAACAGGCAGAGGAAAGTGTTGGACTGAGATTTTCTTTGAGCTAAATTGGGATAAGGACAGATTATGTAGAAGAAAGGAACTGCAAAATCAAAGTCTATGGGCCTGTTCTCACCTGTGGATGTTGGCCTAAGATTAGCTAAATGAAGGTTGATATTCACTAATGTCCCATGTTACAGATGAAGAAAGTTCGGGATAAAGAGATTTTATAACTTGCAGGGTCACACAGGCTAATAAGTGGCAGTGTTGGGATTCCGCCAAAGCTCTCTGATAGTGCCTGTGGTTCCATCTTTCCATCCTTACATTCGATCTTTACATCCTGTATTGCAATATTATTCACGGTATTATAGAGGACAAACTCTTTCCTACTTCATGTCCAACAAGGATAGAGTAAGTAGAAATGAGCTAAAGCAGCAAAGTAAGGAATAAAGGCACAGCTTCCTCCTTGATAAGGTGAAGATGAAAAGATCACTCTTCATTGCTGTGTAAGTTACTTTTCTCAAGCTCTTTAATGGGAAGTGGCCTCTTTTTCTCCCTGAACTTAGAGGAATGTGTTTTGTGGTGTTACCATATTAAAATAGGTCTATTCCCAAATAAAAAGCAGTGGTTTTCAACCTTTCTGGAGTCCTGGGATTCTTTGAGAATTTGACGAAAAAGTGGACCCTCTCCCCTGAAAAATGAGATACATATAGGGTGGGGCAAAAGTAGGTTTATAATTGTGAGTATGTGACACACAGTTTATTATTTTTAAAATATATTTTTATTGATTTCAGAGAGGAAGGGAGTGGGAGGGAGAAAGATAGAAACATCAATGATGACAGAGCATCATCAATCAGCTGCCTCCTACACGCCCCCTACTAGGGATCAAGCCCACAGCCCAAGCATGTGCCCTGACCGGAATCAAACTGTGACCTCCTGGTTCATGAGCCACACCAGCTGGGCCAGTTTATTCTTATATTATTATTTATTAATTATAGTATTGTTCCCCATATGAACTGTAAACCAACTTTTGAACTTTTGCCCCACCCTGTACATGAAGATTCAACCCATCCACAAATACGATGCAGGTGTCACCAGCCAGGGGCTCTGGTCAACTCTTACGTCCATTTTCCTGAGAACAGAATGTGCCTGAAAAGTTTCTGAAGCAAATGCAACATCTGCCTTTTTTAAACTGTAAACCTACCTTTGCCCACCCCTTTAGGCACATGCACAACCAATCACAGTCTTTTATTAGAATTTCAAGAAATCCAAAAGTTCCCAAAGGCCCATGGACTTCAGGCCAAAAATTCCTGAGCTTGAAGAATCTAGGGCTGGGGGGGAATGACTTTCTGGAACTGGCTATAATAAGGCATAGATGCTGGAGCCAATTTGCCCAGATTTGACTATTGGGTCCCCCAGTTCTTTGCTGGGTGACCTAGGAAAGGATTAACCTATTTGAAGTTCAGTTTCATCATCGGTAAAATGAGGACAATGATAATATTTTATACTTTTCCTATCATACTGTCCTGTGGTCACAGTCTTTGGCCCTAGCCAAATAATGACAATCTCCCATGCTGTTAGCTCTGGGATTTTGAGCCATTTTATTAGCCCCTCTGAGAACCAATGTTTTCTCTGCTGTAACATCAGGCCCTGCAGAGTGGAAGTTAACCAACCTTTGGTGAGAGGCTTATCAAAAAATAACCAAAGGAAAAAAGGGTCATGAAGTTGACAAAACGTGTGACATTTGGGTCAGAACACCTGGGTCCAGGTCATGTCTCCGCTGCATACTAGTTGTGTGCACCTGGCGAATCTGCTCAGTGTCTGAGTATCCTTATGTCCTTGTCTCTCGCCTAAAATGAGAATCCTAATTCAATACAGTTGTCAGCTGCAGCCATCTTATCCCTCGAATTCTAAAGGAAATTCCTGCTCATTCCATTGCTACCCTCACCCCCATAAACCTAGAAACAGAATTCAGCCACAGTCCCAAGAATAACTACTCCATCAAAGGTTCTCTAATTTTTGTAAAGGTTGGTCACGATTTCAGAGGTCCCAGGGCACATGGCCTTCTGCCCTCTTGCTCTCTTGGCCTTTCCTCCTCTGGAGCAACACCAGTTTCTTCCACTGGCCTCATGCAAAGCAGTCCCACCCACAATGCTTTGTCAATCCAGTGATAATTCCCTGCTACCCTAGCCCTTTAGAGTAGTAATTTCCCTGCTATGAAGGATGACATTCTATAAAACCAAGAGTATTTTGTGAAAGAAGAGGGGTGGTGTTCTAGGGAAAGTTCCTGGCAGTTGCTCTATTCTGTGATTAAAGCCAGCCATTCAACAAGTGTTTATTGAGCATCTACTATGTACTAAGGATTTATTCTAGGCATAGGAAATACTGTAGTAAATGACACGGATAAATCCTCTGCCCTTGATGTCCAGTGAGAGAGATGGACAATAAATATATATTTATAAGATTAATTATTGCCCTAACTGGTTTGGCTCTTTGGATAGAATGTCAGCCTGTGGACTGAAGGGTCATGGGTTCAATTCTGGTCAAGGGCATATGCCCGGGTTGCGGGCTCGATCCCCAGGAGGGGGCGTGCAGGAGGCGTAATTGAAAAAAATTGTAAGCTATTTTTTTAAATAATTATTTAAGTATAATGATGGGAATGCCACAGCAGAAAAATCCAGGGTGAATCATATAACATCAAGGGTACATGAAAATGAGGAGAAACAAGAATTCTTGTTAACTGCTGGTGGGAGTAGATAAGCTGGTACAAGAATTTTAGACCCATGCTGTCCAAACAAGTAGCCACTAGCCACATGTGCTGTTGAGCAATTGAAATATGACTTAATTCCAAATTTATTTAATTTTAATTTAAAAACCGATACTCGATTCAGTTATTGGAAAACTTTTAAGTATGCTTGGGACAAGTTGTAAGTTTACTTTTTCAATTGAAAATTTTATGCCATCTAAATACGGGTCAGTATTTCTGATGAAAAGTCAGTGTTTAAATTGAGGTGTATCATGAGTATAAAATATGTACCATATTTTGAAGACTTATTTTGGCAAAAGGAAAATATATTGCATTAATAATTTTTATATTGGTTACACATTGAAATGATATTTTAGATGTGTTGGGTGAAGTTAAAAATGATAAAATTACTCTCGTTTCTTTTCCCGTTTTTTTAATGTGGTTACTGGAATATTTTAAATTACCTATGTGGCTCGCATAGTATCTTTATTGGACAGATTTACAGGGGCCTTTTTGTTGTTATTGTTGTTGTTAATCCTCACCTGAGGATATTTTTCCATTGATTTTTAGAGACAGTGGAAGAGAGAGGTAAAGAGAGAGAATCATCGATGTGAGAGAAACACGTCGATTGGTTGCCTCCTGCACGAGCCCTGACCAGGGCCCGGGCTGGGGAGGAGCCTACAACTGAGGTCTGTGCCCTTGACCGGAATCAAACCCAGGGCCCTTTGGTCTGCAGGCCAACGCTGTATCCACTGAGCCAAACTGGCTAGGGCCAGCAGCCTTTTTTTAGGCATGCCCTTTGACCCAACAATTCTGCTTCTTGGCAGCCTCCATGGAGAAACACGTGCATAAACTGCATGTATGTGGATTTTCAGGGTGGTTTTGTTTACAGTACAGAAACACTGGAAACACCCTTGTTGGTGGACACCAACAAAGAAATGACTGTTGTTTGAATGACACCAACAAAGGAATTATTGTTGTTTTAACAAGGCATCCACAGCTTGGAATACTCTACAGTAGTTACAAAGAATGGCTAAGACCCATAGTATCGAAAGGAAAACATTTCCAAGATTTCCTCTTCCCACTGTGGGTCTCAGGCTGTGTCACGGATAATAAGTAGGAAAGGATGCAAAGTAGATGAGATAGCAAAATAACCATTTCTTATCAGCTGTCACACTTACGTCTTGCAATCTTCCTGATCTTAGCTCACAACAATGCCTTCCTGCTAAGCAACAATGATGCACAGGTGGCCTCATTTTGTCTCCGTCACCTGCCTGTAACACTTCCTCTGAGTGATTAACTGGAAAAGGTGACGTGTCTTACCCAAGGTTGCACAGCCAGCACAAAACTTGTCTCCAAGTCGAGTGCCCTTTGCATAATAATGAAGTGGCATCGCCTCGTGGATAAGAACATGGTCTGAAGGCAGACTGAGGAGGTTTCCAGATTTGGTTCTACCACTTATATATGACTTCAGCCAAGTTTCTGGCCTTCTCATCTCTGAATTGCAGTTTGCAAAAACAGCAACAGCCTCATAGGATTATCGTGAGGGTTAAAATGAGCAAATACATGTGAAGTGCTCACCACAGTGCCTGGCAGGGAGTAATCGCTCAGTCGATGTTCATAACAATAACCTACCATAATGCATGTGGCCATCTACCTATGTAGATTACATGCAACCCACTGCCTCCTAGTTGCCTGTTTGACAGATCAGAGAATCTTAGGGGGAAGTTAACTCTATAAAGTCAGTTTCTCAACTAGGGAAGACAGTGTCCCCATAGAGGGCCTTTGGGAAGAGGAGGAGACACCTTTTAGATCAGTGGTTCTCAACCTTGGCTGCACATTAGAATCACCTGAGAATCTTTTTAAAATCCTGATTTCTGGGCCTCATCCTCTGGAAATTCTGTTTCTTTGTTACTAATGTGGTGGCCCCACCCCATAACAAAGAAACAGAATTTCCGGAGGATGCGGCCCAGAAATCAGGATTTTAAAAAAATTTCCTGGGTAATTCTAATGTGTAGCCAAGGTTGAGAACCACTGCTTTAGATTGCCCCAGTGATTGAGGGGGAGAGGGCACTACTGTCATTTAGCTAGTTGGCACATATGCCAAATATCCTGCAATGTGTATAACAGTTCTCTACAAAAAATTAGTTGTCCCAACCAAAATACTAATATCCCCTATTTAGAAACACTGGGATGGCTGAAGGAAAAGATATGATAGCAAGGTACTTCTTTTTGTCTTCAAAGAAGTTAAAAAAGTAGATTGATTATTTGCAAATTTTCTTCCAAACTGGCTCGTTCCCCCCCACACACACACCCCCAACCCCTCAATATGGCACAAGAGCTTCCTGCCCAGAGTTTGAGGGGAATTAGAAGGCAGTGCCTAGAGGCACCACTGCAGACCCGGGGTTCCTTGCTCCCTGGGAATTCACAGTCATGATTTCTACAACTGAATTTCCCATCTTCCCTTACTTAGCGATGTGTCTCACTAACTCCTCTGTTCCTTGTTTTACAGCATAAAAATCAATGCCCTTTCATTTCCCAACACGTCATTAGCCTTTGTGCCGGGGGTGGGAGTCAAGGCCCTGACCAACCACGGCACGGCCAACATCAGCACACACTGGGAAGTCAAGTCGCCACTTTTGTGAGTATCCCTAAAAAGCCTGCTGCCATTGTGGGGGGAAATGGAGCAGAAATCCGAAGTGAGGAAATTTGCTAATGTTTCTGATGTTGGGCTTCTTTCCAAACCATTAAAACTCTTTTTCAAGAGCATTTTTCCAGGAGAGAATTAAATCAGAATATCTCTGCCGGGTGTCAGAGGGGAAGGGCTGAAAGTCATCTTTACCAGCAAGACAGAGTAACTGGTCGAAAGGTCCTTTATGATTTCCTAAGAGCTAGAAGACTGTTGGAGAAATGGACATGCGCTCAACATTTGAGATGCCTCATGGGTCACTGTATGATCTTAGCCAGTCATTGAACACTCTTTGCCGTCTGTGGGGCCTTCCTACCTCACAGGGAGATTGGAGGAGGATAGTTAGCTTGCGCCCAGTTCTCCCCTAACAAAAGGCCTTTGACCCTCCTTAGAAAGAAGGGATCAAATCAAGGTATGCTTACACACCACCCACTAGTACAAGTTGCTATCCTAGGTATAATGTTTAGGTCTGCCTTGTTTGGTGCCCCAGAATAACACATTCATTCACCCACTTGGTCATTTAACAAGCATTTATTGAGTGCCTACTAGTTACCATTTATTCCCATCTCAAGAACTCCAAGAACTCTTATGGACTGGGGAGAAATGACATATCCTCCTATAAGTAGCATGGATTCATGTATTTATTCTTGTTGTTCTTGTCTTTGCTGAGTCATCAGCTTTACATTGCATGCTTATTGTGCATCCGGCCACCAGCTAAGTCCTGGGGACATAAACATGAGTAACACACACTCCACTCCTTCAAGGAGTTCACAGACTAAGTGTTTCTTTCCCATCCATGCCCCTCCTACATAACGTGTGGCCACCCCTTCCCCCCCGCCCCCAACCATGTTCTCTCTCTAAACAAGCATTGTATACAAATGGTGCTCAGTATGTGCTCAACCACTGGGGCGGGGGCAGGGCACTGAGGATGAAATAACTTCCAAGGTCCCTAAAGCTGTCACCATTCCCATAATTCATTACTTCATTTGTTCAGCAAATATTCATTCAGCACCTGCTCTGATCCTACCTGTTGTAGGTGCCAGGAATCCAGAGGTGACAAGGGTCCTGCCCTCCAGGAGCTCAGCGTCCATGGATAGAGGACTGAGCCATCTCCTCCCCTGCCGAGGTCTGGTTAACCTTGCACTTTTTCTCTCAACAGCCAAGACTCAGGAGGAGCTGATCTGTTTCTCTCTGGGGTCTACTTCGCGGGTATCCTTACCCTGACCCGAAATGACTTGGGTCAGCCAAACCTGGAACTCCAAGACTGCCACGCCCAAGTGAGCCACGCCCACGTCTCGTTTTCTGGAGAACTCAGGTGAGGGAGAGTGCCCTGGTGGACGGTGGCTAGTTGGGGGTGGTCTGGATTCTCGGGCAGCATGTAGGAGAGGTTAATAACCAACAGGTACAGTCCCTGAGTAAGCCCTTTCTTATTTCCTTTTTTTCTCCAGTGTCCTGTATAACTCCTTTGCTGAGCCCATGGAGAAACCCATTTTAAAGAACTTAAATGAAATGGTAAGTCTTTAGAGGTTACACAACCATGGTCAAATGCCATCAACAGCAGATCTGCCATGCTTGAATTAATTCTTGGTCAGTAAACCTTTATTGAGCACCTACTGTGTGCTAGGCACCATCCAAGGCTCTTTCACATACATCATTCTATAGAATTCCCTTCCTCAAGTTCATGCCAAACAATCAACAAGAATTTATTTATTGTGTACCCACTGCATGCCCAGCAGTAGGCTAGCATCTGTTGGGATATGAAAAGGAAGTAAACTGACCATCTTTTTAGGGAAACCAAAGTCAGGCTTGTGAAGCAATAACTGAATGAGGACTTGAATTTAGGACATACTTATATGATCATTAGATTGAACTGAAGAGGTTCAGAGAAATGGGAAAATTAAATAAATAGATTCTGGAAGTATCCTCGGAGACATTTTTAGAGGATGCAGAACTTGAACTGGGCCTTGAAATATAGGTAGGATCTGGATAGGTAAGGAATGGGAAAGAAGATAGGCTATTTCCAGCCAATAGAAACAATGTGAGTTAAGATGGTTTCCAAAGCTACAAGTAGCTAGATTCCAGAAGTCTGAGTTTGAGGAAGGGGAAAGACAGGATTGGCTGTGTGCCCTCTTTCCAATCCTGATCAGACCTTCCCTGAACCATTGACCCATATTTGTGGGAGACAGAGAGAGGGATGAGGAAGAGTGGGAACGAAGGGAGACTCCTTTCTGAAAAAGGGGTAAGGACAGTGTCTGGCTATCTCCTCTCCCTCGTGCTCAGCTCAGTGCTTAATGAATACCGGCTAGGAAATCAACACGTGGAAATAGTAAACAGCCTAGTCCAGTGAGGTTGCCGGCTCATCAAGGGACTGAGGCTTCTCGGTCTTTCTCCACCTTACCTGACAGGGGCTGGGGGCCAGTGGATGTGCACATTAAAGAGCGACTGGGAAATAGTGCTGCCACCTTCAAGGACCTCATAGTTGACCATTCCTTTGTTCAGAACGAGGCATGGTTCTTGGCCAACAGTTAAGTTTGCCTGGAGTTTACATACAACTTAGGAATCACAGATGCTTTGCCTCTAGTATTCCCTCTGAGCCACTGGAAAATGAAGAGAATACTGAGACCACAGCTGTCGAGCTGTGATGTGACACCTGGTGACTCTGCCAGCCTCCCTTCTTCAGTTTTCCCATTTGTAAATAGGGGACAGTAGGGCTTACCTCCCAGAGCTATAGCGAGGATGAAATGGGGTTAAAACAACAGCTAACATAATACTGAATGCTTACTCTTAGTAACCTGATGAGGTAGATGCAATTGTCACTCCCATTTTGCAGATGAGGAAACTGAGAACAGAGAGTACAGGTAACTTGCCAAGGGATTCAACCCAGGCAGCCCACCTCCCGAGCCTTTACTAGTAACCACCACCCTGAGTGCGTAGCACACGCCTGGCACACAGCAGGTCCATCGATGTCTTTTCTTCTTCCTCCAGATGTGCTTGAGTCTGATTCAAGGTTTATTTTCTAATTCCAAGCGGGGTTCAATTGAAATAGATGCCTGATCTAATGGATCTAGTCGAACCAGCCCAGTGGGGAAGTAGAGGCCCCAGCTGTGTCCACGCCCGGCAGCATGGGGATGACAGAGCAGGGGAAAGGCATAGCAGGTTCCTCAGGTGGGACGCCTCCAGCATGGACTGGGGCACATGTCCTGTCATGCACGGGAAGAAAAGGCAGTGGCTCATTCTTTTATGGGCCTCCCTGGGTGGAGTCCCAGTGGCTGTGAAGTTTAGTCAGCATTCAATGACTTGCCGCCCATACATACGTAACTTGAGGCCCATAGACATCAACTAATTTAAAAGAAAGTCTTGATGGCCGAATGGAGACTGTCTCCTAGCCGTTTGCTGGCAGGGTCTACGCCCATAAATAGAGGTTTCCAGTATCATATGATAACCTGCATTTTTTTAAAATTCCTTTTATGGCCAGCTCTGTCCCATTATCACGGGAGAGGTGGAAGCACTGAATGCCAATCTCAGCATGCTGGAGGGTGAGTCTCTGAACCGTCTCTTCTGGATGGTTCTTTCCCCACCTTCCCACTCTGGTGCTCTCCAGGTTTGCTTCTCCACACAATACAGCTCCGCCTCTTCAGTCTGCTTTCCACTCTGCAAACTAGAGCCTCGGGAAGGTGGGGGACCAGAGGGGCACAGCCTGCGTATGGAGCCTCCTCTTTGCTTCTGCAGCCAACTTCTCTGCAGGCGGGGGTGGCTTCAGGAGACCAGATGCTGTTCAGAGAATTAAACTCTCACAAGCTTTAATCCCAGCTCTGGCACTAAATGCATCATCTTCTGAATGGTTACTGCTAATCTGGGCCAGGTTATCCCCTTCATTGGCTCCTCGCTGACTTCGGGATCAAGTCCAAATGCTTTAACGTGGACTGCAAGACCCAGCCGCCATGCTCTGGCTCCTACTTCTCTCTGCTTCATCTTGCACCTTTCTCTGCTCCAGCAATCAAACTGCCTTTCCTGACCTCACACCCCTTACCTTTGCTCATGTTGTACTCTCTGCCTAGAAGAGCTTCCCCTCCCTTCACCCATTCATTCATTTAGTAGACATTATCAGTGCCTATTTCGTTGCCAACACTGTGCTAAATGGTGAGGGATGCAGTCCCTTCCACTCGCTACCCCTCGGCCATCCCTTGTCTTGTTCACTCTTTATCTTTTCAGGCTCAGCTCAGGCATATTCTCTTCCAAGAAACCTTACCTGATGTCCACACCCTAAAGTTCCGCCTCCTCTGTACTCACATGATACTCTGAAAGTGTCTCTCTCTTTCCAGTCCACCCATTCATTCACCACTGGTACAAGCCAGGTGCTGCTCTTGGTGCTGGAATGCAGCTCTCAGGCTCGGAAACAGAAATCCCTGCCCTCATGGAACTAGTGGGAGGAGACAGACAGCAAGCAAGATAATAAGTAAAATCTATGGCATCCTAGTGATAAGTGATAAGAACAAAACTAAAGCAGGGGAGGAGCTGGGGAGTGGTTTTCATTTTAGATAGTGTGGCCAGGGGTTGCCATTTTAGATACTGAGAAAGTAACATAGAGTACGAATCTGAATGAAGTAGGGAGTGAGCCACTCCTAGATCTGGGCAAAGAACATTTCAAGTAGAAGAAACCACAAGCTCACAGGTCCTGAAGCGGGAACGTGCCAGGTGTGCTAGAGGAACTGTGAGGAGGCCATATGGGGAGCAGAGGGAGTTGAGGGTTAAGGGGGGATAGCAGGAGATGAGGTCAGGGAGGAGAAAGCAGATGGGTAGATGTCCAGGACTCTGTAGGTCATTGGGAAGCCTTTGGAGAGTTCTGAGCAATGCTTGCATGATCTCATCTATATTTTAAGAATATCCCTTTGACTTCTGTCCATTAATAATAGACAGGAGGGAGGGGCAAAGGTGGAAGCAGGGAGACCACTTAAGAGGCTACTAACTCCCATGAGCCTAGATGAAGAAGGCGAGACACATTCAGGTCCTGGATGTAGCTTGCAGGTAGAGACAGTGGTATTCGCTGACACGCTGAATGTAGGTCATGAGGGGAGTCAAGGATGACCCCAGGTTTTTACCCTGAGCAACCAAAACCTTGGAAGAATGGAATTACCATTTACCCAAATGGGGAAGACTGTGAGAATAGGTTTGTAGTAGGACCATCAAGAGCTCAGTTTTAGATCTGCTCTTACTACCCTGTCTTCTGATTCCCCGTTTATATGTCTGTCTCCTCCACCAGACTATTGAGTTCCACGAGGGCAGGGACTGTGACTCATCTCTGTGTTCCTAGCACCGGGCACAGTGCCTAAGCCTCACTAGGTTAATAAATATTAGATTGATGAGGGGATGACAGGAGATGGGCGGCTAGGCAAATGGACTGATGAGTGGATCCAGGTGGATGAAAGAAAATGAATGTGTTGGGGAGGCAGGGAAAGAAAAAAAAAGAGAAAGGGAGTGAAGAAAGAACTGGTGGAGGAGTCGCATGTCCTAGCTTGCCTTGGGCAAGTTTCTGTACCTCTGGGAGCTGCACTGCCCTCACCTGTAAAGTGATCACGGCCCTGCTTCCCTCACAGTCTGATGGTGGGTCCATGGAGATTGTGAATTTGAAAACAGATTTAAAACTATGGCGTCATAGGATAGTATTGCTCCCTCACCTTGGCAAATCGCTTCATCTCTTCTTCCTTCGCATCTCCTTCTATGGAATAAACCAAACATGACGTGCAGGAAGGGAAGCTGTGGTGCTCATGGCCTGCCTCTAGGGAGGAATTCTTCCTGTCGCAGAGCACATGGTGGTGTTGGTGGTGTTTGGTGTCGGGAAAGCAGCTCCAGGCCAGGGCGGGAACTGAGCAACGCACCACCGCACACATAACCCATCCCAGGCACTGACGTCCATGCTTCCTGAAAGCCATGCCCACTGGCCCCTGGCCCCGGGCCCCCTGCCCGGCCTTCTGCTTGGCTCTGAAAACGATAGTACAAAAAGGATGTGAATCAGTAGCACTGTGCCTGAGAATGTCCTTGGCCTCTCCAACCTAGTGGATTTTACTCCCGTCTGTCTGTCTCTCTTGATATTTCTTTTTAAAAATTACTTCTAATTACAACAGTGATGCCTGCTTATTGTGAGAAAATTAAGTTCTAACTACCTAGGAGGCTTTAACATAGAACTTGAAAGTCTCTCATTATACCAACCTAATACGTATGGCTTAATGTTGACAAGTGACTTGTTCGTCTAATTCCTTCTTTAAAAAGAATGCCCTAACTGGTTTGGCTCAGTGGACAGAGCATCAGCCTGTGGACTGAAAGTTCCCGGGTTCAGTTCCGGTCAAGGGCATGTACCTTGTTTGCGGGCACATCCCCAGTAGGGGATGTGCAGAAGGCGACTGATCGATGTTTCTCTCTCATTGATGTTTCTAACTCTCTCTCTTCCTCTCTGTAAAAAATCAATAAAATATATATTTAAAAAAAAGAATTTATGGAGATCAACCGAAGGACTTGTATGCATGCATATAAGCATAACCAATGGACATAAGACACTGGGGGGTAGGGGAGGCCAGGGGATTGTCAAGGGCGGGGGAAAAAAAAGGACACATATGTAATACCCTTTGTAATACTTTAAGCAATTAAAAAAAAGGCTCAGAAAAGAAAAAAAAAAGAATTTATGTACATTGAGAAAGAGACAGAGAGAAATAAAAAGGGTATATACCGAAATTTTAAGTTTCTCTCAGGGTAATGTGATTTAAAAGGGTTTTTACTTTCTTCTTTTGACTTACCTACTTTTCCTGGATCTTATAAAGTGAGGATGACCTGAAACTAATATAATATT